TAGCCTTTAGTCCTAGGGTGAGATGGCCTCGGCGTCTATATCGAGGGTATGCCTTTTTAGGGGTCTTACAAGTTCGGATATATAGCCTTGGCCTTAATATCGAGGTTATGCTTATTTAAGGTCTTATATTGGGCATGCCTCATTAAGGTCTTACAGATTTGATGTTGCCTCACTGAAGGCTTACGAGTTTGAGTTTTTGATGGCTCGATGAGCTGACTGTTGATGACAGTCCCCGAGTGTTCGAGAGTTTTTATCCCTTGAGCCGTCTTATGGGAAAGTAGTGAACTTCTTCGAGGCACAAAGTGTTTTGATAAGCAAAGAGGCTTCCTCAATTACTTGATATATGCGTACATGTTTTTTGCCTTTGGAGGCTCGATTATTCTATATGGACACAATTCATTTGACCGTTTGGCCCAATACAACATTATCCTATTGAGGTCCTCCCAGGCATAGTTCGATTTCTTTGAAGAGATGACCTCCCGGGGTGATGCCCCCCAATATTTGAGGTTGATCGAAGAGAAACCTTGAATACTTGATGAGTTCTCCTTAGGTAGCATATGGATGTTGTCTCGTTAAAAATCTCACCGGTAAAACCCGTTTGGGATAAAACCCGATCTAAGGGAAAACGAGCACAACACATGGTTTAAAACCCAAGGTCTTCGAGTCGAAGGGTGCTTCGGCGTTTCCCATCGAACACCTGTAAGAAATTAGCATAAAACATAAATGAAAAGGGAGAGGGTTGTACCTTAGCAATGATAGCGTTTGAGCCTTGATACGTTTCAATTTCTCGCTCCGTGGACGCAACATGGTCCTTTATTCACTCATTCGGGTGCAGCCGAGAAAGTAGGTTATGGTTGCTACTTGGCTGTTTGCTTTTTTTTTGGCTTCTTCGATGTAGAGGGCGTCGATGCCGATGCCACGCCGTGCACCGCGAACATCTCTCTTGCTGCATGTTGCTCCCCGTACACTTCTTTTACTCCATTCGTGGTTGAAAACTTCATCATTTGATGAAGGGTTGATGGCACTGCCCTCTTACTGTGTATCCACGACATTCCAAGTAAGGCATTGTATCTCATGTCACCTTCGATGACATGAAACTTAGTATCTTGGATTGTACTGGCCACGTTGTCCAGGAGGATGATCTCCCCTTTCGTTGTCTCGCTCGCTATGTTGAATCCATTGAGGACTCAAGAAACGGGTACGATCTGGTCGAGCAACCCGAGCTGCTCCACCACCCTCGACCTGATTATGTTGGCCGAGCTACCTGGATCCATGAGCACACGCTTAATTTAAAATTTATTCAAAAGAAAAAAAATTACCTGTGCGTCATTATGAGGCTGAGACAAGGTCTGTATGTAACCTCGAGTTCGTTTTTCCCTGGTGATGGATATTCTCGTTCACTTGACAACGGGTCCCTGTGGGGCGTCGACCCCTCCAATGATCATGTGGATGATGTGTTGTGGTTCTTCTAGTTCGTTCTTCTTGTTCGCCTCCCTTTCCCGAAATTGGTTTTTGGCTCGATTGCTGAGGAATTCTCGAAGGTGCCCTTCTTTGATCAGCCGGGCCACCTCCTCTCGGAGTTACCTACAATCCTCGGTCCTATATCCGTGAATGCCATGGTATTCGCACATCAAGTTGGGGTTACTTCGGGAAGGATATGACTGTGCAGGCTTTGGCCATATGGTATCCCTGATTCTACCCATGGCCGATACGATGCTTGAGACATCGATGTTGAAGTTGTATTCTGACAATCGGGGTGACTCTATTGGCCTCGAATGACTGTCAAACCTGGTCTTGCTCATAAATCCCCAGGAATTTTGGTCTCGATCTACTTTTCGATCATTTCGAGGCATATTCCCTCTCAAAGTGTCTCTTCAAGCTTTGAAGTATGGCTGATACCTTTCTTTGCCTGATCTCGACTCCCTTTTCTGCAGACCTTGGTTCCTTTGCTAGGATCCTGCTTGGATATACTGAGCTAGAGGGGGCTCCCAATTGGTCGTCTTCAACCCTGATCTTCAATTGATACATGTTGTGCACATCCGCCCAGGTCACGGCAGGATATTCGATCAAATTTTTCTTTAGCTGCTTCGAAGCTATCGAGCTAGTTTGTTCAAGCCCTGAATGAAGGCCTGCAATGCCCAGTCATTGAAGACCGGTGGTAATTCCATTCGCTCCATCTGGAAGCAAGATACAAATTTCCTCAGCATCTCGTTCTCCCTTTGTTTGATCTTGAAGGCGTCGGACTTCCTTGTAGACACCTTGATGGCACCGGCATGTGCCTTCACAAAAGAATCTGCCAATATGGAAAACGAATCCATCGAGTTTGGGGGTAGGTTGTGATACCATATCATGGCCCCCTTCGACAGTGTTTCTCCAAGTTTCTTTAGCAAGACAGATTCAATCTCGTCATCCTTTAAGTCATTCCCTTTTACAGCACAAGTATAAGCGGTAATGTGCTCATTGGGGTTCGTGGTCCCGTTATACTTCGGGATATCGGTCATTCTGAACTTCTTCAGGATGGGCTTCAGAGCCGCACTTGATGGGAATGGTTTTTGCACGAACATTTTTAAATCTACACCCTTTAGAATCGGGGGTGCGCTCGGGATCTGATCGACTCTCGAGTTATAAGTCTCCACCTTTTTATCGTTAGCCTCTATCTTCTTTTCTCCTGACTCAATTCTATTAGTCAATTCCTCAAGCATTTTCATGATTGTGGGGTCATTCCCCGAGCCGCTTTCATCGAGTCTTTCTAGCATTGGCTCGTGCTGCATGTTTGCTGGTTCGGCGGTGTTAGGGGTTCTGTTCTGACTTTGAAGTTGAGCGATGATGGCTTGTTGAGCTTGCAGCATCTCGAATATCACTTGGAGGCTAACTCCTTCTTCTTCCATTCGTCGTGCTTCCTGGCCTCCAGCCTGGGCTTCCCTGTGTCCGTTCCTTACAGGGTGTGCGCCTACTTCTGTATTTAGAGCGTTGTGGGAGCTGATATCAACTGGATCCACGTTTGTCACTCCCTCAGGGTTTACAGGTGGTACATCGAGCCCTATGCCGCTATTTTCTCCAAGTGCTTCACTATCATGAGTAGGTGCATTTTGTGTGCTACACATATTTTGGCCTAAAGTCAAAAAAATCTTTGAGAAGAAAAAGTGTGAAGAATAGCATGTGTTATCAAAAAACTAGCACCGAAACAATCACTATTATTTTTAGCCCCACGGTGGGTGCCAAACTGTTTACCTTTAAAATTGGTATTAACAATTATATTTGATTTGTGGTTCTAAAAATACGTGATTTATCTTATCACTAGTTGTTATGTGAATAATGTTTGGTGTAAATGAGCAAGAAATAATAAGTAAACCAGTGTGGTCACAAGATTGAGGACCTCGAGCTCAGCGATATTGGACCTCGAGGGCAGGCTTTAACGGTTGATAATGAACAACAAATGAAGAACAATGAATGAACACAATAAATGAGGAGCAATAAAGCTGTAGAGTAATTGTTGAGCAAGTTTAGGCAAAAAAAGTAGAGAATGTTCTATTGCATCCATATTCATCTCTCTTACAAATACGACAAAGGTCCCTTTTATATAAGAAGGGGGAATCCCAACATAGTACATGTCTAATAATAACGAGGAAATGCTATTGGTACAGCTGTATAATAGCCTAGTACGGATTTGTACTATTCTTGCAGACATGGTCAGCTCTAACCACGTGTCTTTGGGAGTTTTCCCGTCTTTTCATGGCGATCGTCGATTTGTATTGCTCCGAGATTGACCATAGTGAACCTTCGATATGCTCCCTCAAGGGACGTATCTCGGGGTCACACTTCAAATTCTGCTTCGAGCTTCTCGAGGTTGGGCGTGGAGTGCCACAGTAACCCCAAAATCGAACTCCTCGATTTTAACCGTATACAAAGGTTTTCTCATGATAGCCTGACGAGATTATATAGAAGTTTTAATGACTTTGATCTACTGATATAATCTTTTCATCTTGATTAGCATTGGTGGTTTATTATTTTTGAGCGCATAATTCAAATTTGTTGCTGACAGTGTCATATGTAGGTTATAGCATTGCATTACACATCAAATAAGAATTTACTAGACATGTGTTTCATGCCTCTTTATTATTCCTTCTATTTTACTTTATTTGTCATAGTTTGATTTGGCATAAAGTTTAATAAAGAGAATTTATTTTTAAAATTTATAGTCTTAAATATGTCATAATATTTTGTGTAGCTATAAAACTTTTAAACTTGTAATCTTAAACTAATCATAGTATTTGTGTGGCTATAAAAACTTCCCAATAAAGAAATATAGAAATATGTCAATCTTTTGGGAACAAACTGATAAGAAAATAATGCCAAACAAAGTAAAACAAAGGATGTATATTGTATTATATATTCTTTTATTTTAGAATGTAGCTAACTATTATCTATTAATTATTCCTATTATTATTATTATTATTATTATTATTATTATTATTATTATTATTATTATTATTATTATTATTATTATTATTATAAAAGTGGATCGTCCAAAGTAGAAAATTAAAATATCAAAATGTCCATATAAAGTGGAATGACCTTTTTATCTTTCACTCGAACACTATTTCTAGCGTTTTTTTATAATGAAGCATATACCATAACAAAAGGAAGAATTTGTAGAGTAAATCTAAATCATAAACATGACTTATATCATTTTCAGTAACTTGTAACACTTTATTAACTTTTATTTTATAACGCAGATATATATTTTGAGTGTTATATTATTATTTTCAGAAGTTTGTTCTCATTGATATAAAGTACACGTGCATCGCGCGTATCCTAAAACTAGGAACAAGAAAAAAAATTGGCTGCCCTGCTATTTAATGGAATTGGGCCAAAGAGGCGGCCCAAATGTTTAATCCGTCCGCCCAGCCTAAGCCCCACTGACCCGCCTGGCCCAACTAGTCCCTTCCCCTTTTCCCATCTCATTAAAACTCCCATTCCCCTAACCTTAGCGATAACAATCAGATTTCCTCCCTCAAGGAAAACCTAGCAGTCGCTGATCTCTTCTTCTCCATTCCCTCCAACCCGCCAGACCCCTCTTCCTTCTATCATCTCACTCACTCTTCTCCTACAGATTCTTGCACTCATGCAAGTGCCAAAGAAAAAAAGAGCACTCTCTAATTTAGAACACTGAAATTCCACAAAAGAAGAAGAGAACATAAAAAAAAAGGGAGGATAGAAAGGATATTTCTGAATTGATTGAGTTTGCAGCAGTTTATCTCCATGTTTCTGGTTTTCTAAACATTTTGGATCAAAAGGTGCTGCTGATTTTTGCTGTTCTCTGCATAGTTGGACTCCAATTCGCTATTCCAGCCTTTATTAGGTATGTTTTTTCCTTAAAGCTATTGTCAGATATGCCTTGATATGGATACTATGGTTGTTCTTTAGCTCATTTGCAGTCATTATTTGAATCCATGGCTGTTTCGCTAAGTTCATTTGGCTGATACTTTAATTTTTATGTTTTGATTGGGCTTGAGTACTGAATAAATACCTGTAAACTCAACTAAAATAAGAAAGTGTGACTCCCTGAACGTGAGCAGCTTTATTGTATTAGTTGTATTCCTATTTTTGGTAAATGTCACAGTTAATTATCTCAAGTTAAAAACTACTGAAAGTCTATACTACAGTACAGACTAACGTCACAGCCAATTTCCTGAGTTAAGCTATCTGCCAAAGTCTACACACTTTATTTTTTTGATATAAAACAATGTCCATACAATAGCAGATTACTCTAGGCCCATAGAACATTACTGGCTGATCAATCCACTTATAATAAAGCCATTGTGCTCAACGACTTTTTCTCTTTTATGGGTTTAACGGGAGCCATTGTGCTCAGCCATTTTGTTTCTCAAAAAAGACGATTTTCTTTAATCACTATGGAAATGTCAGAGAGTTGGCATAAATTTGATAAATTGATTGTAAGGATTATTTAGGTTTGAGTTGCTGTTATCAGTTAAGGGGTTGTTTGATTAGAATTTAAGCTAGTTGGGCCATTTGGTTATCTTAGAGAAAATCAGAAAATTAGATTAAGTTTAGAATGGTATGGTCTTTTAGTTCAGGCTAATTTGATAAATGAATAGTTGAGTCAAATAAATCCTCCGCCAGGCCCACCTTCGTAATAATATGCTATTGGTCCATCTCTTCTTTAATAACAAAGTTGATTACTTCCTTACTTCCACAACTAATTTCCATAAACTCTTGGCCCTACAATAATCTCAAAGTAGAAAAAAAATTTCATGAACAATCGTAGTTTGCTTTAGGAGCGTTTAAATAAATCATTGTGGCTATAGTACGGTTTCCGTGACATGGTCACGATATGGAAATCCCAATTCGAGTGTGCATTTTACGTGACTCGACATAACTTCAAATAATAATAAAAATAAACATGTTGCGAACCGCGTGTGCGTTTCACGTTGCGCGATTCACAATGTGTACAAAAACAATAAGTGCGCGACATCGCGACTTATTCAAATAAACTCCATAAATCTTAAAAGCATTTAAAACTCTATTAAAAGTGGTTCGAAGGTTAAAGTGCACATAAGTCTTAAAAACATGTAATAAATCAGATACTTGGGCCAATTATTAATAGTTGAATGACCGTGCTAAAACCACGGAGCTCGGGAGTGCCTAACATCTTCTCTCGGGTTAACAAAATTCCTTATCTGGTCTTCTAGTTTCGCAAACTTTAAAACAGAGTCAAATTTCCTCGAATTGGGATTTAAAATAAATCGGTGATTTGGGACACCATAACAAATATCCCAAGTGGCGACTCTAAAATAAATAAATAATCCCATTTCGATTAATGTCACTTTAATTGAAAAAATTTGCCTATCCTTTCGGGAAAAAGGAGGTGTGACAATAATAATTAATATATATATAAACCCAAATAAATAAAAATAAAAAAAAGAAACGAGCCAAAGATGTGTGCAGAATAAGATTATGAAAAGAAGGAAATAAATTTATTTTTTGAAATAATAATAATAATAAATAAAATTAAAAAAGCAAAAAAAAAGAAGCAAAAAAGAGAATAGAAAACAATTATAATGTATAATTTATTTTAATAATTGAATAAAAAATAAAAAAAGATAATATGTATATTATACCAGTTATATTAAAAAAATTTGAACAAATATTTTCTGTATCAATTATCTTTTCTTATTATATAAATAAAAAATAAAAAAGGCAAAAAAGTAAATGAAATTAGATTATGAAAAAAATAAAAATAAAAGAAAAAATGAGTTAAATGAAATTAGAAAAGGAACAGGAAATAAACAAAAGAAAACAAAAAGAAAAAATAATAAAGAAGGAGCCAAAATTGAGTGTGAAATTAAATTATGGTAATAATAATAATATGATTTGGACAAAAAATAAATAAATAAAAAAGGAGAATAAAGAGAGAAGAAAATAAAAAAAAGAAAAAGAGAAAATAAAGAAAAGAAGGAAAAAAAGAAGCAGAGAAATTAAAAAGAAAAAGAGAAAAAAGACGGAAATTAATTAGTTTGATGGGTATACAAGTAAATGAATAAGCAAGGATAAATAATTTTATTTTTGTAGTTAATTGTGTCGTTCACCCTATAAAAATCACATAATACATGTGTCTTTGTTTTCCCTACAGCTTATAAAGAGCCGGCTAAAACCCTAATTTGTAAACCCCATTGAGTGCATAAACCCTTTGGATCATCTGCCCTTTTGGTTTTCCATATTTCCATATTTGCATGGAGCACCAATGAGCAAGAATAGGCGGTGAACATCAGGAGGACACATCAGCGACGATGCAGAAGAAAAAACGTAAAGAAGTTGCTCTCTATGGTAATTACAGAAACTACTATGGCTATAGAGTAAGCCTTTCTTTTCTCCCTCTTTCTCTATTTTTACATACCCTTTCCATTATTTGTTTGGTTTGTGGGTGCTAATGGATGAGTTTTGCATTAAATTCAGTGTAAGGAAATAAATCCCATCTAGGCAAAACCTTAAGCCTTGGTGTTTATAGTTACCTGGGAGAGTTACCCCGTATCTTCATAAGCATAGTTACTATGTAATGTAGGGGTGGAATCACTAAGGGAACCGTGAATTTATACAAGATGATTCAAAAATATTCTAGGATGTCACCGTTGTAATTTGAACATATGACCTAAAGCAATTTTGAACCCCCCTTAACTACTATTCTTGTATTTTTCTTCATGTCAAGGGGATTCAACATCTCACATATAACCAAAAAATATTAATTTTACTCTATTTACATTGTGTAATTTTCCACTGTGAGGGTGTCGGTTTAACACCCCTCACTCTACCTAGTTCCACGCATGGGTGGAATAGGTAAGGTGGGCACAACTTGCTTTAGATACCCACAATTATATGAAAAAGTCGTGATTTTATGCTGAAAGCTATATTAAAGAATACAAGATTCAAGTTAATAATTCTTTAGTTGATGAATAGATCTAATGTTAGAAAGGAGAGCTCTTACAGAGGAAGATAATCCTTATTGTAAGGAAAAATATTTTTATTTTCCTCTTTTACCAACTGACCCTCTCTTTAGCACAGATGGATTGTAGTTTTTAGGGGCAAAGGTAAGGCACTAAAAGTTTTTCCCTAACAGTCTTAAGGTTTCTATTGCCTGTGCTATCTCCGGAAAATCTTACTGCTCCCAAGTTGAAGCAATTTGGGAGCAGCTCAGAATTTCTTTTTTGTTTTGTTACCATTTAGTTTTTTTTTAAAGTTTTTTTTATTCAATTATCATAAGTCCATACATAATTTTGAGCAAGTTTATCACTGCATACCTTTTAGTTGGACTCACTATTTGGTACTTTTTGTGTACAGATTGGTCAGGATTTGGAAGAAGATCCAAGGTTAAAAGCTATGAAGAAGGAGTGGTTTGAAGGCAAGGATTGTCTTGATATTGGCTGTAATAGTGGAGTGATCACAATCGCCATTGGTAAAAGTTTCTTAATTACATATCTGTTTCTGAATTGGGATTTCTCCTTAGTGCTTTTAGTTGCATGTGGGATTTTTGCTTGATATCTGTGCTAACATTGTCCACCAATAGAGGTTACACATTTCCGTTTTCTTTTGTCTGTTGTTAATATTAGTTATCCTTTTGACTACAGCACAAAAGTTTAGCTGCCGAAGCATCCTTGGAATTGACATTGATGGTGGTAAGTATTTGAACTTTTCATTTGGTCTACACATTTGGTTCACATGTAGCTGATTATGGCCGGAAGAAATCACGAGCTGATTAAGATGCCAACAAATTGTCATGCAATTTGTGAACTGCACAAATGTTACTTTCATGGATCAGTCTTTATTAGAGACCAGCTGAACGGGAATTTGTTAGTATTTGATTTTGAACCCACATAGTGCATTTTGTTGATTTTTCCTGTGCAATTGGATGGACCAAACAATTGTTTTGTGCAGTGATAGTAATGTGCGGTTGGTCGGATTGTTGTGTCACACTGTCGCTCTTTAATTTCTTTTCCTTCTTATTATTGTATAAATTTGGCCTGTTGATCTCTTTTGCGACTTATTGCCATAGTTGCCGATAATATCATATTCTGTTATCCATATAGGCAACTTAAGTAATGTGTGATCTGATGGATTTAGCATTTGACTTTGAGCTGCTAGGATGTAGTTTATAACTTTTATTCTCTCTTTTCGCCTCTTCCAGCAAGAGTTAATGATGCCTATTGGACTCTCAGGAGAAAAGTGAAGAGTATTAGAACAGTGCCTGCAGGGGGTGACAAATTAGCAGAATCAAATACTGTAAATTATTTAAAAGACCCTGTGGCAGAGTCACTTAATAAAAGGGCAAAGAATGATTGTACATCACCTCATCATTTGCAAGAGGGAGGTTTTTTTGACATAGTCTCCTTCAAGAAAGGTGATTTTATTCAGAATTTGCATCCAAGAGACAATACATCTTATGATACAATTATTTGGTAAGTTTTCTTTTTCTTTAACATCATCTTCCCTGTATGGTTCAAGAGATGTGAAATCTTTTAGTCAATTGCAATCCTTCTGCGAAAAGGTACCCAAGATGTTATATTGTTGGAACTTGTGTTTCCTTTTCAAAATCACCCAAAATTTTATTCTAAAGGTGCACTTCTTTTGGCGGTAGAGGCAAATTATGTAAGCAAAACAAGATGATAAAAGAACAGTGCAAAAGCATAAAGAGTTTATTAGCTGGAGAACATTTTTTGTTTCGTTACCCTGACATCCAACTTTGACCAGTCCTAGGTGAGTATGATTTGGGTGGATTCTGTCTTCCTTGTTTTCCTTTAGCTCCAGTCCTATCTGTGACACCACAAAGACATGGTTAAAAGAGGGGAACAAAGAGACTTTTATGGACTCTCATGCTTATGAATATCATTTTTATTTTGAGAAAGGTAATATTTATATTCAGAAAGGTAATATTTATATTCATCAGCACTCAAAATAGGGCTGCTCTATAATATTTACTAGTACAGAACCTCTGTGAGATTTACAGCGAGTCAAAAAAGTCTAGTACTGATTCTGCATCACCTACCAATTGTTCTTTAAACCAAAAATGAAAAAGAGAAATGCATGAATCTTGATTTTCTGTGTTGAAGTACTCTTGCCTTCAAAACATTTTGCATTCATCTCTTTCCAAACTGTCCACCTTATGCAAGCTGGAGCAATCTTCCACCATTCCTTGTGACAGGTCCTTCCCCTAATACTGTTCCAACTGCATATCAAGCCAACATCCTCCTTGGGCATCATCCAAACAATACTAGCTAGTGTTATAAAGAGCTGCCAAAGTTGTCTAGTAATAACACAATTCAAGAATAGATGGTCATTGGTATCAGTTTCCTGGTGACATAGAAAGCATGTAAAGCTGGTCTGAATACCTCTTTGGAGAATCCAAAGCGTGGCAGGCTCCTTTATCAGTACAAGTGTTTGTGTCGACACAAGTGCGGTGGCTAAAATGAAGAGTCTGCTGCTCAACATAAGTAAATAAGTGATTCTAACTGAGTTATCTGCCATTATGTTCCAGTAGTGTTTAGTGTGCGACAATTTTGAGATCAACTGCAATAGTCTTCTAAATTTTATTGTGGGATCTTTCTTTTTCTCTTTTCTTTCTTTGGGAATGGGAAATTTGCCCAGAGTGTTGGGGCTGGGTGCAGGCTTCTCAATCTTCGGCTTTTCTAAAGATTGATCAGCACTTGAATCGCTCCCTGAGGGTTTCTTACAGAGAAGATTAGACCCGGTTTTCTGCTTTTCTGTATATATCATATAATCTAAAGCAAGAGAATGTATAGTATGTTTTTTAGTATTGGTTACTTTTTATGAAGTGGGGTGCTGCAATTTTATTCTATTTCCATGTATGTGAGCTTGAAGAGCTGAATTTCATTGGATGCAGCTTAAGCGTGTCAAAGTGGGTGCATTTAAACTGGGGAGATGAGGGACTAATAACTTTGTTTTCTAAAGTCTGGAGGCTCCTTTCACCGGTAATGTTCACGTGTAATAGGAAGCAATTCCTTGAAAACAGAAAGAAACTCATGTTTTAACTGTACTTTTTTGATAGCAGGGTGGTGTCTTTATTTTGGAGCCTCAGCCTTGGAAATCATACTACGATAATCGTCTTGTATCTGAGGTATATTACTAGCTTCACAGAAGACCTTATATTGGGATTTCTTTTTTTACTTTGCGTACCAAAATTGTAAATGTTAATGTTGTTCTTGCTATGCAGACAACAAGAATTAATTATCAAAATATTAAGATCCGTCCAGAAGATTTTCAAGACATACTTTTGGACAAGGTATTGCAGGGAATTCTATAACCCCCTCCCTCCCTTTCCTCCTTTTAAAAATAAAATAAAATAAAATAAAATATTTCATGACTCTGGGAAGGCTTCACTGACACATCCCTTTAATCTGAATGCAGATTGGATTTAGAATGGTAGAGGACATAACATCTAGTGTATCTGGTTGCAAAACTGGCTTTAAAAGACCTATTTTGGCATTCTGGAAGTGATGTATTAAGTTATGAAATTGCTTTTTGTTAGACTGAAAATTAGTGTTGTATATATGTGGATTCCAGTAGGGAGCTATTAACATGCTTAAAACAAGTTTGGAATTGGCTCTACATCTTATTCTCATCCAGAAGCGTAAGAGTTTGGACAAACTGTCTAGAAGCTTTCTTATTCTATGTCTAATCTTTCAAAATAACAATTATTCGCGTAACTCCTCTTTCCTCAACGACTTGATCTTATTAAGTTCCAATTTTCAATTATTATCTTTTATAAGCTCTTCTTAATTTCCTTTTCAGAATTAGCATTACCACCCTTGACCAAACAACTGCAGACTTGTGATCTTTTAGCGATTTAAAGCTTACCCTACATTGCTGAAATCCTCTCATACCCAAACAACTGCAGACTTATTAAGAGATGTTTTATATTAAAAACTCGGATAATAATACAGTTAATAGTAATTACGGTACCAAAAATAGAATAGTTAATTCTCCTCTATCTGATCTCATTTTAAGTGTTGTTTAAAGTTTTAGCATGTCCATTAAGAAAATGTTAAATACGAAGTATAATTTACTAGATCCTCCTATTTATTTCTTAGTTTCTCTCACTTATTACTCATCCTATTGGAAAGTGACTACTATTTTTACTATTAGAAAAAGACTAATAATAACTTTTGAATCTAGAATTTGTATGTGACAGGTTCAATCTTTAGGTTCTTACCAACTATTATCATTTAGAAATTATAGTTTTTTTTTTTAATTTTGTTTGCAATTTTAGTAATTTTTAACGTATATACATATATTCCATATCAAAAATACTGAAATCATTGAACCATGCTACATCATTCACTGCTATTATTTTTAATTATATAAAATTAATAAATCTATCTGCGCTTGCCACAAAATAAATATAGTAATTAATTTAAAAAATGATTCTTATAAAAGGATCTTTGTTATGAAATAAAGACTATAAAGTAAAGACAAGTATAGAGAGAAACTGATATATTATTCGAATTCAAACTGATGTACATAATGAACAGAAATCTCTTTCTATTTATAGAAGAAAGGAAGTTGCTGTGTAAGCTGCTACTACAAGCTGCAGTGTAAGCTGCTACTACAAGCTGCAGTGTAAGCTACTACTACAAGCTGTTGTGTAAGCTGCTACTACAAACTGCTGTGTAAGCTGTTGTGTAAGTTGCTGCTGTACAGATATGGATAATCTTCTACTGAGAGCAATATTTTTCCATAACGGAGTACTGAATGGATAAGCTTATTATACCCGGTATGGATAATCTTCTACCGGGGTAATGTTTATCCATAACTGGGTACTGAAAAGATAAGCTTATTATACCCGATATGGATAAACTTCTACTGGGGGTAATGTTTATCCATAACCGGGTACCGAAGTGATAAGCTTCTTCAGGAAGCTTATTTCCAATATAGTACTAAATAGATAAACATATTTACGGTGGAGTCCCATATGGATAAGCTTCTTCAGGAAGCTTATTTACAACGGAGTACTAAATGAACATCCATAATATAATATATTTATAACACTCCCCCTTGGATGTTCATTAAAAGATAATGTGCCTCATTAAAACCTTACTAGGAAAAACCACGTGGGAAAAAAAATCCCAGTGAAGGAAAAAGAGTACACATATTTAGTAAGACGCATTGCTAGGTGCCTCATTAAAAACCTTATAAGGAAAATCCCATGGGAAAAATCTTAGTAAGGGAAAAAGAGTGCATCGCGTATTTTACTCCCCCTGATGAAAACCTTGTTTCAAATATTTGAGTCTCCGCATTCCAATCTTGTATACCATCTTCTCAAAAGTTGAAGTTGGCAAAGATTTAGTGAATAAATCTGCTGGATTATTACTTGAACGGATTTGTTGCACATCAATGTCACCACTTTTCTGAAGATCGTGTGTGTTGAACAATTTTGGTGAAATGTACTTCATTCTATCTCCTTTTATAAATCCTCCCTTTAATAGTGCTATGCATGAAACATTGTCTCCGTATAATATTGTGGGTCTTTTATCACATTCCAACCCACATGTTTCTCGAATGAATCACTGATCTCAATCATATGCATTCCCTGCTTGC